AAATTTGTTTCAGTAACATATGAAAGATTCATTTGAATTTTAAAAATTCATAACTCAATCAGCTAAATCGGAGGTTAGTAGTTTGACAACGTTCACGGCATTGGAAATACACTGCCCAAGGGATAATTAAAAGAATAGAAATTACTATCCCATGATGCACAGCAATATATCGCTGTTGTTTCTTTGATTGCTGGTACGTAGCTGAGTGTTTATGCAGAGACTCAGTGATTTATTAAATACTTACTGTCCCATGATACATCAGAATAGCCACCAAAGATGTATCTACTAACACGAACAATGGTAACTGTCGGTCCTTTGTTGTCACACTGGCGGTGGAATGTTGAATCCACATCCCATCCATCGGTAGCAGCTCTCCAACATCTTATCCAACGACTTCTATTAGAATCTTGAAGAACGGGTTTCAGAAAACTGGTCAGCTTCTTCAGATATTTGTTGTTGCCACGGAGAATAGTGGAATTCTTAAGTTTAACTGAAAAAAGAAATCAAACGATGTTATATTACAACGTAAATGATCTGTATGATAATTAGAAATAGAATAACAATTTAATTGGATGTACTTTATAACATTTTTATTTTATATACAGACATGTTTTGAGGTAGCATACCTCATCCACAGTGTGACTACTTTACAACGAATGCAATGTTTTAGAAGATAAAATGCAAATTTAGGTTGTTGGAATAGTGAGACTTAATTAAAATTAACATGATAGACCATTTGGATCTACACTACATGATATCTGTATAACACAGGGAAGTAAACCAAAACAAAGTTGGCAAATAAAAGCAAATCAATTTATGAAATATTATATGATATGAATGCATACACAGRATTGGTCTCTAGTAGCTCAAGTGGGTGAGGTGCATACTGTGTCCAAGCCGAAGGCTTGTTTTACGGTTTTTTAAAACGCAGCGAGTTTTATTCCACTTCGCAGTTTAGCAAGCAGCTCATTGAAAATCTTTCCTTTAATTAGTTATCGATTTATGTTTGCTTATTGAACAGAATTATTTATGCAACATGGTGATCACTTCGACATACAYAAGGTGGACTTGCTACGACTAGCAAAAAGGAATTTATTAAAATTTGCTGCCAAAAATTGCCTGATTTTTGAGCTGTGAACATTTTGACGCTTAGTGTTGATTTTATGTCTAGCTACCTGGCTTGAAAGTTGGAGGAGTAGTACTGGAGCTTGTGGCCGGAGTAGTACTGGTACTGGTAGTTGGAGTAGTACTGGTAAGGGTATTTGGAGTAGTACTGGTACTAGTGGTTGGAGTAGTACTGGTACTAGTGGTTGGTGTAGTACTGGTACTGGTAGTTGGAGTAGTAGTGATACTAGTGGTTAGAGTAGTACTGGTACTGGCAGTTGGAGTAGTACTGGTACTAGTGGTTGGAGTAGTACTGGTACGAGTGGTTGGTGTAGTACTGGTACTGGTAGTTGGAGTAGTACTGGAACTAGTGGTTGGAGTAGTACTGGTACTGGTAGTTGGAGTAGTACTGGTACTGGTAGTTGGAGTAGTACTGGTACGAGTGGTTGGAGCAGTACTGGTACTAGTGGTTGGAGTAGTACTGGTACTGGTAGTTGGAGTAGTACTGGTACGAGTGGTTGGAGTAGTACTGGTACTAGTGGTTGGAGCAGTACTGGTACTAGTGGTTTGAGTTGCACTGGGACTGGCGATTGTTCTTGAATTGGTTGCAGTTGGACTTACACTGGTACTTGCAATTTCAGATTTCTTTGGCCTCTTTGAACGAATTAAAGCAATATATATCCATGAGATTTATCCAGTATGAAGGTTACTATCTGATAGCAATTGTAGTTATGATGTATCGCTAACCTTTATGTCCACATAGACAAAACCTTCAGCCTTTCGAAGGTCGTTTTCGTGTAACGAATGGTCAGCGTCGTTTAATTCACAGATCTTTGTTGACTCCTCGAAATTGAATGTCAAGCACCTTGAATTGAAAAATTATATATCTTAGTATATTTTGTATTCAATTTTTTTCTCAAATACCTCTCATGTTTTTCTATCTATATTTTTGTATGTTAGTTGATATTGACTATTACTTTTCATTTTCCTTTCTCTTACCACGCTAACCTATTGAATATTTTCGTCTAAAACAAACTTTTTGAATCACCTTACCTCTCGACCATATTGCATTTGAGTCTACAAAGAACCTCCT